AGATAGTCACATAATCTCTCCTTTCACATCAGCTTCACGGTGTATAAAATGCAGAAGGATTAGTATTTGCTTGGGGTAAGGTAGCCCTGGACCATGGGTCAAAGCTTGCTGGCGTGGAACGGAAGAATGCATGGCAGCATCTTAGACAAAAGGAGATTCAGGGACCCCAGGATCCTGTAAGAGCAGAGATCTAATGTAATCTGGGACTTGGGACCAAGTTCAGGCAGTATACGGTTCCCACAGGTCCTCACTTTATTGTATGGGATTTGGAGAGCTGAGAGTCATCATGAAATGGTGGCTTCAGGGGCACCTGATGTCATTGCAATCCTTTAGACAATTCATATCTTATTTTTATGTGATTGACCAGGGTATAAGGCCTATAAAAGAAACCTGTGGCTTCTCACATTTGTTCCATTCATACCTGCATTTTGCCATTCTTTGACAGCCAACTCTGTAGCAGACAATATTCATGGTACCCAAATGTGTGACTTTCAAGCTTTTACCCTTACTGGGCTAAGTAGTGAAAGATCTGCAAACAAGCAATGACGAGATGGGACTGGGGTGTCCCAGGTGCTTAGAGAGCTCCAGGGGGGCTGGCCTGACTGTTGAGGGGATGGAGGGGGAAAAAATTCCTTCAGGGAAGGTGATATCTTTGGGAAACCTGAAGGCTGGGGCATCGGCAGCCCGGCTTCCAGCCCCAGCTCTGCATTGGCACCAACCTTACCTTGTTTGCTGACTCACAGCGGGCGAGTGGCATCTCTGACATCGGAAGGCAGCACCCACCCTTCCTACCTCCGGAGGTGAAGTGAGGTGGCAGTGAGGCTATTTGTGAGTACACACACCTGTCCGAAAGTTCTTCCTGAGCCTGGCAGCTTGTGTTTGCAAGATGGTGGCTCTGCTAGGGCTTGAACCCAAACCCTATGAGGTTTGGGTTCAGTGTGTGGCTGTGAACCTCACATTTGTCTTTGCTAGACCGGTATAGCTGAGCCCTCCTGGTCATGACCTTGACTTTTTTCCCTGACAAGAGTCTCTCATTAGTCTCATTGAATAAAGCCCTGTCTTTCTCTTGCTAATGGTATGGTTTTGCAGAGACTACTTAACTAATCTGAGCCCCGGGTTTCTTTTTCTTTTCTTTTTAGTTTCAGAGGTAGAATTTATTTTATTTTATTTTTTTTTAAGATTTTATTTATTTATTCATGAGAGATAGAGAGAGAGAGGCAGAGGCAGAGGGAGAAGCAGGCTCCCCGTGGAGCGGGGAGCCCGATGCAGGACTCAATCCCAGGACCCCAGGATCATGACCTGAGCTGAAGGCAGACACTTAACCGACTGAGCCACCCAGGCGTCCCTCAGAGGTAGAATTTAGTGATTCATCAGTTGCATATAACACCCAGAGCTCAATACAATAAGTGCCCTCCTTAATGCCCATCACCCAGTTACCCCATCCCCCCCCCCACCGACCTTCCCTCCAGCAACTCTGTTTGTTCCCTAGAGTTCAGCATCTCTTACAGCTTGCCTCCCTCTCTGATTTCATCTTATTTTATTTTTTCTTCCCCTCTCCTGTGTTCATCTGTTTTATTCCTTAAATTCCACACGTGACTGAAATCATGTGGTATTTGTCTTTCTCTGACTTATTCCGCTTAGCATAATGCCCTCTAGTTCCGTTCTCATCATTGCATATGGCAAAATGTCATTCTTTTTTTTTTTTTTTAAATGTATACTTTAATAAGCATATAAACAATTAGGTAAGCTTGTGGAGAAGCTGACCAAGACACATATATTAGGAGATACAATTGTCCATCTAAATTTTCTAGATTTCTTTTTTTTTTGCAGAGTATTTATTCAAGTTGTTTACTATATAATTTCTCGTGTGCCATTTTGGAAGTCCTTTATTGTAAAGACTAGTCTTTTGTCTGATGACAAACAGCAGCCACACTGTCAGTGATTATTCTGGACCTCCATGTTGGATAAATTGAATTTCTTCTTGAGATACAAGTTTCCTTCTGTATTTCTGAGGTAATGTTTTTATTTCTGCAGTGTCTGGTGGGCCCTGATGCACCAGCAAATCTGGGGATTTACTTCCCTTAGAATGCTGTGAAATTGAAGAAGAGTGAGACGGTAGTCCTGCTGATCTCAAAACTTCTGATACGTTAGGTTTAGGATTGTCTCTTCTGTCAGGGAACCTTATTAATGGAGTATGTGGCTTGACTACCTGGACGACCCTGCTGGCAGACGCCATCTTACTGCCCATCATGACCCCAGGATGGGGCAGCAGCTTCCGGTGCGCTCGCTAGGCACAGAAAATCAAAATGTCGTTCTTTTTGATGGCTGCGTAATATTCCTGTGTGTGTGTGTGTGTGTGTGTGTGTGTGTGTGTGTGTACATATACCACATCTTCTTTATCCATTCATCTGCTGATGGACATCTGGTGAGCCCCAGGGTTTTTATCTGTAAAACAGAGGGAACGGTACAAATCTCGTAGGGTGGTTGCAAGATAGGAGATAGTTTGTATAGAAGAGCTGACACACAGTGACTACTTGAATAGTTGCCAATACTGCGAAGGAGGAATAGCCCAGGAAAGGTCACAGAGAATCGGGATAAGCCTCCTGCTTGCCCACTTTTTGTGGTGGTTCCTGCTGTGGTTGAAGTCATGCAGCTCACATAGCTCGTGGGGTGGTTGGGAGAGGATAACCTACCCTGTTGCCCATACCTGTAGTGTCCAGGTAGTTGAGGTTGGGGACACTCTTAATTGCTATCATGTATTCAAAAAATACTGCTGTACTACTCGGGTCTTTAAGAGGAAGGAAATCTGTCACATGCAGCATCTTGAGTGAACCTTGAGGACATTATGCTAAGTGAAGTAAGCCAGCCACAAAAAGACAAATACTGTGTGATTCTGCTTTTATGAGGTATCTAGAGTAGTCACATTCATAGAGACAGAAAGGAGAATGGTGGTCCCCTGGAGTTGGAGCAGGGAGTCGGGGAGTTGTTTAACGCGTGTGCAGGAGGAAGAGTTCTGGAGATTATGCAACAATGTGAATATACTTAACGCCTAAGATCTGAACACTTAAAAATGAGGAAGATGCTAAATTGTATGTCTATTTTACCACAATTTAAAGTAACTTAAATGGTTATTAAGCATGTGCCAAGTGTCAGACATTATCCTGGCACAAGGGGAGACAAAGTGAGTAAAAACAAACATGGCCCCCATCTCTTGTTATGGAGCTTAGGGGCTAGTAGGGGAGACACATGTCAAATGGAGAATGACTTTAATAGGCAAAAGTGCAACCAGAACATGTTGCTACAATTGGTACCGTGAGAACTTCCAGTCGGGGAACCTGACTTCATTAGGGAGGCCATGAGCCAAGGCGAGCAGGACAAAGGAAGAACATTCCAGGAATATGCAGAGCATGAGCAAAGACAGTGAGAAGGGAGGATCTGCAAGAAGGCCAGTGTGCCAGAAAGTAGAGGGTGGAAGGAAGCCTATGTGAGAGGAGGCTGGTGAAGACCAAGGGGCCAGACCACACAGCCATGATGGCCGTAGTGAGGTTTGTCTTTCTTCCTGAGAAGACTGGGAAGTTAGCTGTTGAGGGTTTGAGTGAGGTTGGGGAGATAGACAGAAAAGCAGGTTTGTGTTTTGAAAAGGTCAATCTATAGGAACATTTTTTTCTTGCAAGGAAAAATCTTATCAAATGCTAACAGGTGTATCTCAATTAAGATCTTCATGTAATTTGTGTTCTTTTGACAGAAATACTGAGACAATTTTTTTTTGCACTAGATTTGTTAAAATATAATTTGAATACTGTATAACTCACCCATTCAAAGTTAGAATTTATCTTGAATCATTTTAGTTCTGAGATAGTTTCTCATTAATTTCAATCTGAAGAAATTTTACCCTGCTGGGGGCACATCAACCTGAATTGTTACAGAATTCTTAAAGCAATACAGAGATTTGAAAATGGACCACAAGTATAACATGACTTGTGGTTGTGAGTTTGGAGGAGGAGGAGCAAGAATACAAACATGGTAATGGGATCTCATACAATAAATTATCCTTTTTTACTGAGCTCTAATTGGCATGTAACATTATATTAGTTTTAGGTACAGTAAATTATCACAGGGAATGTTAGAAAATATTTTAATTGCATCATAGAAATCTTTCACTTACACTATAACTGTCATTGTCCTTTGAAGCAATATCTCAGTCTGATAGTAACGTGAAGTCCTGGCATATTTCACTTCTTACACCTGGACATCTCTACTGATTTCAGGGCAGTAGGAATGGTTTGATACTGTGAACTGTTCCTCAGCTGCCATGTGCAGGGTCTGTGAGTTTGGAGGAGCTCCTGAACTACAAATTGGAACGGGAGGAGGAGCAAGAATACAGACAGTGGGCACAACTGGGGGTGGTGATTGATTGTGCAAGGATCACTTGTATTCGTGTGTCCAAAAGGCGGGAATTGACAGGTGAATCAGACTTTTATCCTCCTGCTCAAATGCTCTCTGAGTTCTGAGGCAGCCCCCCATCACTGTCACTGCTGTATTGTCAGTGATGAAACCCTCAAATGTTCGGGGCTTTCAGACCGTTGCCAATTGTCGAAGGAACTTAGGACAAGGGGTGTGGGGGAGCAGTTCCCTGGGGCCAAAACAGTGTTAGTTACAAGAGCTGATGGTTAGAATTACTCCAAGGGACAGAGACACTTGTGTACCGCTAATAAATTGTGTGTGTGTGTGTGTGTGTGTGTGTGTGTGTGAGGGAGAGAGAGAGAGATAGATCAGGCCTTCCAAAGCACAAGGTACAAGATAGGGATCCCTCTGCCTGGGGTCTAGGATACCACTACTGGCAGGCCCTTTCCAAGTTCAAGTTCACCCCATCAACCTAGTCTTCGTAATACAGACCAACAATGCCAGGAGGTGTTGCCCAGTGTGCTCCTTTCTTTCTTGCCCAATGTGCTCCTTTCAAAGAGCACTGACTGTGTTTTCCCCTTACGTTGTCTTACCAGGAACTGGTGAAAGTGGCAAAAGCACCTTTATCAAGCAAATGAGAATCATCCATGGGTCTGGTTACAGCGATGAAGATAGAAAGGGGTTCACGAAGCTGGTTTACCAAAACATATTCACCGCCATGCAAGCCATGATCAGAGCCATGGACACTCTGAGGATACAGTACGTGTGTGAGCAGAATAAGGTAAAGCGCCGCAGGGGCATTGACCCTACTTGTGGATGCATGCTTTCCTTCTCTAGATAGCATATGGCTTTGGACAGAAAGATTGACGGAGTGCTTTGGTCAGAAGCCAAAGAAGCTCTGGAGCTCAAACTCCAAAGAATGTAATGAACTTTAGCTCTGTACAGTATTGTGGTGGTCCCCAGTGATTCAGAAATGCAGGCATTTAGATTGATTTGTTCGGGTGCTGAGAAAAGGAAGACACATACGTTTACTCGTACAGCTAAGATGCCCCATTAATTTCTCCACTGGCACAGTAGAAATCTTGGGCTTTTCCAGAATGCCCAATCTTAGGAAATAGTGTCATGAATGCCCTGCAGACCACTCAGAGCTATCGGTGGGTTTTCTTTCTTTATTTTTGGAGCTAAGTGATGGTTTAGGAGCGTGATGCTTATGTCCCAACTAGCATTAGGCTCTCATAAAGTACTAGTATCAAGCTGGTATTTGTTTTGGTATCACCACTGGTTATTTAAAATACAGTTATGTTTCAGGGGTACCTGGGTGGCTCAGTCGGTTAAGTGCCTGCCTTTGGTTCAGGTCATGATCCTGGGGTCCTGGGATCGAGTCCCGCATTGGGCTCCCTGCTCAGTGGGGAGTCTGTTTGTCCCTCTCCCTTGGCCCCACCCCCCACCTTGTGCTCTCTCTCTCACTCAAGTAAATAAATAAAATCTTAAAAAAAATACAATTATATTTCAAAACAGGAAAATAATGAAACAAGAATGTGGGAGGAGGAGGCAAATAACAATTGTATATGGTATACTGGAAGGCAAATCCACTGGAAAATTCTGAGTTCATTAAGAATCTAGATCAAAAATAGTTTATTTAAAATAATTGATACCAAGATACAACAGGACATCATGATAAAGAAGAATACTCTGTCTCAGATGAATCTCTTGTGGGTCTACTAAAAAGAATTTAGCTGCTAAAGTGCCAGCATTGCTTTAGTGCGGCCCCCAAGGACAACTTTATCATGAACTTGTAGCAACTGTATTCATGTATATTTTATATATGGTCTACAAAGAGTTTCAAAGCAGTCAATCTAAGTTTTTTATTATTCAGTGACTGAATTGCATAGGAACATAGGATGCACCCAATTTTTGACTTACCTTTATATTGTGTTTGCAACCTCATGTCTTTACCACCATTTTCTTACACTTTTGAAGAAATGGAGGAATGTATCTTGTTTCAACCTTCAAAAATGTTGTGCTGAAAAATGTGTGTATGTGGGGTTTGGTTGGAGAATTAGCCTTTAGAATATCTGGTGCCAAGCAATGTAAGAGGTGCATACTGAGCCATTGGGAGTTTCTAGAAGTGACTGATGGTTCTGTGATACATTGTTTGGATACATGTATTGTATTTGATTGAAAGTGTACAATTCTGGGGCACCTGGGTGGCTCAGTTGGTTGAGCGGCCCACTCTTGGTTTCTGCTCAGGTCATGATCTCAGGGTCTTGAGATGGATCCCTGTGTTGGGCTCAGTGCTCAGTGGAGAATCTGCTTGAGATTCTCTCCTTTTTCCTCTCCTTCTGCCCCTCCCCCTGCTCATGCTCTCTCTCTCTCTCTCTCACTCAGATAAATCTTTTTTTTTAAGATTTGATTGATTGATTGATTGATTTGTCAGGCAGAGAGCACAAGCAGGGAGAGCGGCAGGCAGGGCAGGCAAAAGGAGAAGCAAGCTCCCCATTGAGCAGCGAGCCCAATTCAGGACTCAATCCCAGGACCCTGGGATCATGACCTGAGCTGAAGGCAGATGCTTAACCGACTGAGCCACCCAGGTGTCCCAACTCTCAGATAAATCTTTAAAAAAGTGTGTAATTCTTTTTTAATCACTTATGCAGTTGACCCTTGAACAACACGGGTTTGAACTGTGTAGGTCCACTTACATGCAGATTTTTTCAATAAATACAGTACTGTAAATGTATTTTCCTTATAATTTTCTTAACATTTTCTTTAGCTTCTTTATTGTAAGACTACAGTATATAACAGATGTTCAAAATATGGGTTAATCGACTGTTATTGGTAAGGCTTCTGGTCAACAGCAGGCTATGTAGTTAAGTTTTTGGGGAGTCAAAAATTGTATGCAGATTTTTGACTGTGCAGGGTAGGTGCCCCAACTCTTGCATTGTTCAAGGGTCCACTGTACAAAGTATTTTAAAAATTAGGCCATCTGTGGAAATTTCAGGTTATTTCAGAAAAGAGGTATGTCAGGAACATCCTTGCAGAGATTTTAGTTAATCTATTTTCCTGTGTTGTAAAATGCATTTTGTTTCCCATTCATGGAGGGGTGATGGGAGAAAGCCTGGAATTTAGGGGATGGGCTTGTAAACAGATCCACTGGGAAGAAAAAGCTTAAATGTTAGTCAGTTCTGCTTACCTTGGCAACATGTGTTTGTAAAACCCAATTAGATCGAATCATTAGGGACTCTGGGTTTCTGTTTCATTTTGTTTTCCACCAAGGTCTTCTAGAGGTACTCTGAGTTTATGTTTTAAACAAGAACTTCTTTATGGGGTTTGGCGCTCCACGACTTCCTCCTTTTCTCTTGGTCTTGATTCTTCTTCAAAGGCCACTCCTCTTGACCACTAATCTGCGTTAGTTTCCTAGGGTTGCTGTAATAAAGTACCTTAAACAGGGTGACTTAAAATGGAAACACATTCTTTCATGGTTCTGGAGGCTGGAGCCTGAAGTCAAGGTTGATTGGTTCCACCTGGAGGCTCTGAGGAAGCCTATGTTTCATGCTTCTCTCCTAGTTTCTGGTGGTGCTAGATATCCTTGGAACCCTTTGGCTTGTAAACATGTCACTCCAGTCCCTGCCTGTTGTCACATAGAGTTCTCTCCTGTGTGACTCTGTTCTCATGGCATTCCCCTCTTTGTGTCCAAATTTCCCTCTTCTTATAAGGAGACCAATCATTGGATTAGAGCCCACCCTCATCCCAAGGATGACCTCATCAGAACTTGATTATACCTACAAAGGTTTCTAAATAAAGTTACTATTTCTTTGTTTTACAGTCCGAGCAATCCTTTCCTTGCTTATTACTATTTCTAAATAAAGTTACTTTCTGAGGTATGGGGCTGGCATGAATTTTAGGGGGACATTATTCAACCCAGTACAGTCTGCCCTTTGCCCCCCCATTCATGTTAATTCCACATGCAAAATATATTTGTCCCATTCCAGCATGAACTCTAAGTCTCAAATCTAACTGAAATCTCAACTCAGAAGTTTCCAAATCTCATCATTTAAATCATCTAAATCAGGTGAGATTCTGGATATGGTCTCTGCTGGCATCAGATTCCTCTCCTGTCGCCTCCTCATTTGCTGTTATCTGGCTCCCTTCTCAATGCCTTCTTTCTTTCTATTCCAAGTACCTACATTTATGCTTTGTGAACTTCCTCTTATCCCTCAAAAAAATGCTTGGGATGGACCACAGGCTTACAGAGAGGCACAAAGTTGAGTAGAAAGAACACTGGATTGGCTCTCAAAAATCTGGACTCTGTTCGTGGCTCCCCTGTGGGTCTTGGACAAGAGTCAGCAATCTTTTTCTGTAAAGGGCCAGAGAATAAATATTTCTGGCTTTCAGGGCCATATAGTCTCTTTTCTGCTCTGCTGTCATAGTGCAAAATCACCCATAAGAGAGGTGCCAACGAGTGAGTGGGCTCACTTGGAAACTCTATTTGCAAAATGTAAATACTATTTACATTATGAGCCATACAAAAACAGGCCACGAGTGGATTTTATCTGTAGACCGTGGCTGCGCACCCTAGTCCTCGGGGAGGCCATGTAACCTACCTGGTCTTACATTGTCCCAAATGTTAAATGCAGACAACACATGCTCTATCTATTTCCTAAGCCAACATGAGCAAAAGGAAGTGCTCTGCAAATGGAATGGCACTCCAGAAATACAAGATTATTACTGGGGCAAATTCAAAAACCAAAAATGGACTTATTGTTTCTAATATTACTTGCTTAGGTCTTTGTTGTCCATTCCTTCTTTGTTGTTTGCCGAATAATTTTTTCTGTGAAAAATGAATTTTTCCTTTCCCGATTCCAAAGGTGAAACTGTAACAAAGTACCATGCTCAGATCATAAGATAATAAAATGATTAGTGTTCATGTATTAAATCATGAGTTTAGGAAGCATGGTACATGTGTTCTTTACCAAGTATTGCATCACTTGCAACAAATGATTAGGAGGGAGAGGAATAGAACCTTAAGGAGCTTTTTGTTTTACAGTCTGAGCAATCCTTTCCTTGCTTATTACTATTTAATTCCATTATCTTGTTTTTTCAGAGGTGGGAACACTTTCTTTAAAGTATGTAGGAAAGAATTAAGTGATTAGGGAATATTTATTTATTTAAAGTAGGCTCCACACCCAATGTGGGCTTGAACTTAGGACCCTGAGATCAAGAGTTGGACGCTCTATGGACTGAGCCACCCAGATGCCCCTAGAGGGTCTTATTTTATTTAAGATTTTATTTATTTATTCATGAGAGACAGAGAGAGAGAGGCAGAGGGAGAACCAGGCTCCCCAAGGGGCAGGGAGCCCGATGGGGGACTCGATCCCAGGACCCTGGGATCATGACCTGAGCCGAAGGCAGACGCTTAACCATCTGAGCCACTGAGGCACCCCAGAGGGTCTTATTTTAAATGTTAGCCATTTAATTGCTCAGCTAGGTTGTTAAAAATCTTTGCCTATTACTCGATAGGCTGCTTATGAAAGGAATTTTATCAGAAATTCAGTTCAGCGTTTGGTTTTTAACCAACATGTTTTTTTTGTTTTTTTTTCAATTAAGATATATAGCCTGGAAGATTATTTTCTTATACTTTGACTTTTTTTTTTTTTTTAAGAAATGATTCATATGTGTTTGCTCACTGTGTTGATAAGCCTTAATTTTCATGAATGTCTCTCAAGAGTGTCGTATGAGCACATAGTAGAATTTATGACTTTTTGAATAAATATTACAAAAGTA